AAACTATTTAGAGTAAAAAGAAAGTGTGTTTTGGCTTCCCTTTTAAACTAAGCATGTTGTATCAGGTCAAAGTTGTTTATTTATAGTATGTGTGTCTTAAAAGTGGAAATTTTTGGGATGGAGTTTTTGTTTCTAAATAATCAGTAGCTAGAAGACTAAATCTGTGGGCTAAGGAATATGGGAGCAGAATTATCACTGAGCAGGAACATTTTAATTTCTATTTGGAAAAGGAAAAAATATATTTTTATAGAAAGATAACAATACTAATGATAGAAAAGTTTTCTACCAGGAGACCTTTACAACTAGGAAAGGAGCTTGTCATTAGAAAATTTAGAGTAAATAGTAGTATAATGCCTTCAGAATTTCTTTTAAATTAAATGTGGAAAGTAGACCTAAATTCTGCCCACATAGTTTAAGTAGAGTGGGAATTCAGTACAGTGGAAAGTTTTACACATTGTAGCCTAGTCTTCTTGCACTCCAGAAAACAGACTTCTTGATTTAATAGACTTTTATTTTTAATTTTCCAGTAACTTTGATCTTGAGGTAGAGATTACTATAATATCACACCAAATTCCTTATTTAAATGTTATATTATTGTTGGCAATCAAAAAATCTTGAGTTCTCTTAATTTTCTTTTGAATAAAGTAATAGAGCTTAGAATTCACCTCTATACTGCTCATTTTAAGTATTTCAAAAGACAATTATGCTATAATAGCCACCATTCCATATATTGTAAATGAAAAGTTCACAGTTTCTGTGAATAAAATACATCCTTTTAGTGTTTCACTATTTGGGTGTGAGTAGGAGAGCCTTGCATGCCTGTTTTCAGTTTGTGACCACCTTGAATTTCTTTAGGGATGCTGTACAATATGAAGAATGTGCTCTGTGTATCCTTTGACTTAATCAAGTTCAAAACATGTTATTTAACCAAGCACTATAATAATTCTTTTTCCTATTACCTTACTAGAGCTCTCAGATTATTCTATCAATTTATGGAAGATTAACTCCAAACAAAACTCTGGGGCCAAGGAGAGGTGGTGCCTTACATAAGTGTAATGAAACCCTGTAAATGTAACATCACATATTATAGCTATCTCTGTATCCTAAAAAGAAAAATAAAGTCAACGATGTTGTTAAAATAGATAAATTCTGTACTTAGAATCCTTTTAAGACATTGAATTCTAGGTGTTGAATTCTGTGGTGCAAAACAGTATTCTGTTTATGGTATAATAAATGCTAAGTAATGGAGATTAAGGCTTCCCTCAATCTATTTGCTCTGCTCCTTTTTGTAAAGCCCAAGTTGCTGTTGTCCATCTTGCCTGCCACAGCACAGTGCTGCCTCATGTTCAGTTTGCTCCTCTATCAGGGCCTCCAAGTTCTTCTCTGCAAAGGTGCTCCCCAGCCAATCCATCTCAGCTTGCATGGTTGCTGGGATTGCTCCTTCCGGGTATAGAACTGCACATTGACCCTTACTAAATTTCATGAGATTCCTGCTGACCCATCCTTTAGCCTGTCTAGGTCTATCTGAATGCCAGCCTTGCCTCCTGACTGGTTGTCTTTTGCATCCTCCAGGTCATTGTTGAAAATGGTAAGCAGGAATAGCAATTGATGATAGCTGCTACATAAAGAAGAAGAAGGACAGAATCTTCCACCTTTCTATAATCTTACCTTTTCTGCCCTCTTTTTATTTACACTTAGATAAGAATGTAAAATGCAATCTCAAGCTGCTTCTGTATGACTACCTGCTGTGGATTATTAGCATGTATATAAAGTCAGAATATCCTTCCATCTTCCTCTACTTTTCCTAGCTCTTGAATAAACAGCTTGAAAACGTAAATGAGTATCATCGGGCTTTCTACACTCAGCTCTTGGTGAAATGTTATAAAGAAACAAGATGCTTTTTATATGCTGAAGAGTATAAAGCATCGAGCAGTTGTGCAGAGCAGTGCTGGTATATGTTGAAATACATTTACACTCCACTTGCCTAGTGAAGACAGCAGGAAAGAATTGGACAACAGTTACGAAACAAGCATTCTGCAGCATTTCAAACTGCACAGTAGAGGTATAACTATTACTGAATTTTACAACCTATTTTTAGTAAAAGGTGATTAAAAGCTGTGACTTCCAAACTGTCAAGTATATCTATGCAGCATTCGTAACATAATCTGTCTACCCTGAACACTGCCTGAATATGAGTTCCTTGTATTTCAGCAATGCTTAACATATATAAAATTATTTCCAAAGTTGTATCACCTCTCCCAAAAATACATGCATAGCCTTTAGAAATTCTTTTCT